GACCTAGAACTTACTGTGTAGCCCAGGCTGGTGTCGAACTCACAGCGATCCTCCTACCTCAGCCTCCCAAGTGCTGGGATTACAGGAGTGCGCCACCACACCCGGCCATTATATTCTATTCTTTTTTCTCATTTTGATCTAGTTCTGATATAGGGACCTGAGGTATGAAGAGGTATGCTAGTTCTGTTGTATTACTTTTCTCTTTCTACTTAAATGAAGCATCTGGGGGAAGGGAGAAAGGAGGGGATTAAATCCTGGGGCCACCAAAAGCAGACTCCTCAGCAACTGGCCCCTGGGTCCGGGGCCAGGAAATGGGACGGGCTCACACACAGCTTGAGGAGGTTTGTGGAGCCTGCAGGGAGAGAAGCCAGAGGGGACAGGAACAGGCGGTCTCCAAAAAAGTGAACTCTACCAATTTGGAGCTGCTCATTGGTCAAGCTGAGCTACTAGACAAGAACCTGGCAGGTGGAAGCCTGGGAGTAGGATTTCGGGGTGTGAGCAGCAGAAGTTGGATAGTTTAGGGGAGGAAGTCGGGGGGTGAGTTTGGGGAAGAAACTTCTTTTTCTTGAAAGGTCAGGTTTTGAGGCAGAGCTGCAGACCAGGAACCCACCTGTCTCAGCAAAGCTGATGATCTCATATTCTTGTCTCCTGTAGTCCTCCTGGAGCGCCCCCTGTGGTGGCCCATGGAGGCGCTGCAGTGCAGTCTTCAGAGCAGCTCTGGATACAGGTCGGCTCAGTGTTGGGGGCCGGCTGAGGTGCAGCTTGTCTAGAATGCTTCTCTTGGCCAGATCGAGAAGCTCCTGCCGGTGGCTCTCCAGGTCTATGGCAGGCTTCCCACATGCTGGACACTGACTGCCAGCCCTGAGAGTGGCCACCATGGCTGGAGTCAGGAATAAAAAGGCCCAGAGCAATGAGGAGGTCATCGCACGAACCTTCCTTGAGTGACACAAATCCAGGGCTCAGAGTCTTAACAGTGTAGTCGCAACTCTGTCCTGGCTATCAGGGGCTCTGGGCAGAGTCTTGTCCTGGTTGCATGCCTCCTTTTTGCAGGAGATAGATCAGCCAAACATCTGACTTGAAAAAGAGCCAACTACAGGTAGAACTTGGCAGGATCTGCTCATGCTCAGTCAGTGAAAATACAGAGTGGGGGATGTGAGGAGAGATTGGTTTGTTTGGGAAAAGAAATGTAACTGGGCCAATGTGGGAAGACAGTTATTACCCATGTGAGCTGCCAGACCTGGGGACAAAGGTTAGAGATGAAATTCCCCCTTAGATTGCTGGCATTGCTGGCACTGCTGGGAAGCCTGGCAGGGGATAGTGAGAGGAGAGAGCAGTGTTTTGTGTGTGTGTGTGCGCGCGCGCGCTAGGAATTGAATCCAGGGCCTTTGCACTAAGCTATATCCCCAAACTTTTTTTTATTTTTTTGACTTTGAGAGAGCTTGTTTGAAGGTTCTAGCAGGGGAGCACAGCTACTCATATACCCTTGATGGAGAAGAGGGTCCTCCTCTCTCTGGGGTGGTCATCCTCTTCGACCTAGCGTGCAATTTCAGGAGGGATGAACATGGAATGGTGAAGAAGAAAGGAGACACCTACCCAGCCAGCTAGATCAGCCGAATCAAACCTGGAGATCAATGGGGTGACAAATGTTGCAGCCAGATTGCCCTCATGTGCAATTTAAAAATTGTGAGACAAGGTCTTGTTTAGCTGTTAAGCTGTCTGGGCTGCGCTCAAGACTGCCTCAGTTGCCTAGAGTGTTGGGGTCACAGGCATGCATCACTGTGTCTATCTAGAGGTTTAACAAAAAGTTTTACTCCTAGAGGCTAAGGAGCGGGACTGCTTGCTCCCAAGAATTTCAAGCCAGCCTAGACAATATACCAAGACCCCGTCTCAAACAAACAAACAAACAAACACAAATGAAATGTGTTAAGGGCTGACTCTCAAGTAGAGACACTGTAAGTCAGTTTTATGGTAGTTACTGAGTCGTATTCTTCTTTCCCAGGTGCTTCTTAAAGTCCACCTCCTCCCTAAACCTCCATCTTCCCTCTGTGGAACTTTCAGTACAGCTTTCTGTGTTAGCCCTGGTTGAGTTTTGCCCAGAGAGATTCAAAGGTCCAGGGAAAGGGAGGAAAGTGTTCTAGTCAGGTTGTCTGTGTCCTCAGAGGAAAGTTTGAAGGCAGGCTTAAGAACCCGTTTTGCTTACCTTTGGGGGATTGTTCTGACTAGCAAAAGAAGTTTTAGGATTTCTCACAATTCTTAGTTCTCTCCTAGCTAATCATGAGGCGGAGACAGGAGAGCTGCAAGTTCAAGGTCAGCCTGTGCAATTTAGTGAGACCCTGTCTCAAAAGATAACAATGGCTGAAGACTAGCTCAGTGGTTACTGGTACATGCTTACTTGCTTGGGATTTATAAGACCAAGGTTTCATTTCCCAGTATTGGAGGAAAAAAATAAGTCCTAGCTCTTCCTCCAAAAGTCCTAAGTAGTAGTAGTTCTCCAGGAGAAGGATTCTGTTTCCAAAGCAAGGATATCCTGGCAAGGGTAGAGGGTGGAAGCAGGAGCACAGGTTTTTAAGCCAAATAGCTTAAATTTATTTTTCTTTCGAAACAAGAGTCTCACTATGTAGCCCAGGCACAACGATCGGCCTGCCTCAGTGTCTGAAGTTCTGGGATTACAAGTGTGCACCACTACAACTGGCTGCATTGCCTAAAATCCTATCTCTGCCTTTTCCCCTTGTTGTGGTACTGGAGATAGAATCCAACACCTTGCACATACTAAGCATTGAGCTACAACTGAGCCTTATCTCCTCTTGAGATAAGCAAGTTACTTGACTCTGAGCAAGTTACTTGACCTTTTTGCTTTAGTTTCTTCATCAGAGAAATGGGAAAATAGATTAATGAGAATTCAAAAAAACCTTGGAATCTATAAATGTTGGGGATGACTTTTCCTTTGGTTAAATTGGACATAAATGGAAGTGAAATTGTTTATAGTCTTTAAAGGATTCCATAAAGTACAGGTACAAATTCCCTATGATGAATATTATAATTGTGTTTATCTAAAATGTACTAATAAATATTCTGCTTTAAAAAATTCCATAAGCATAACCATAAAGAGATCCCAATAACTGAGACTTTTTTTTATGGTACTGGGACTCAAACTTAGGACCTTGCACTTTCGAGGCAGACAGCGGCACCACTGAACTAAATCCCTAACCCTAACTGAGACTTTTTGTAAAGCGTAGACTTCAGAAAAAAATTATTTTTAATATTGGGAATTGAACCTAAGGAGTGCTGAGCTATATTCCCAGCCATCTTTGTTAATTTTTATTTTGAAGCAAGTTCTCCTTAAGTTTCCCAGAGTGGCCTTGAATTTGCAATCCTCCTGCCTCAGCTTCTTGAGTAGCTGGGATTACAAGTATGTATCACTGAGCCTGGCTCAGAAATATTATTTGATTATGGGGTACTATCCTCGGGGCTATTATATAATATAAAGTATATGTATCATTTTATTTTTCTAAAACTCTAAACTTTTCCAGATAGGGTATAGGCTTGTGGCGGAGTGGTTGCCTAGCATGTGTGAGACTCTGGGTTCAATCCCCAGTAACAAAATAAATAAACATAAACAAAACTTGAAAATTTCTGGATTCTAAGGATTTTAAATGTTATTAATGGGTCTGTAATGATTGTGGGAATTCAGTAATTTTGTAAAGCATTTGCAACAATGGCTGATGTATCATGGCTTAATAAAAGCTGTTTGTTATTCCTGGTGCATAGGTTTGTTTATAGGCCAAAGGACTCTCTTCTCTTCTTTGCCAATATTTGCTGTTCAGGATGCTTCTTTCCCACATTCCATACTTCTAACTGCCATCTATTGTGCAGTCACTTAGCAAATCATCTCTGCTATTCACCAGTATATTCCTAGACCACTGCCTGATCCATGATAAAGTGCTTCCAATAGATGTATTAAATGAATAACTATTACAATCCAGATTGCTTCTTGGAGGTTACACCCAAATCCCCTTGGTAGAATGTATGCGTGTCACAATCTCTCGGCTCTCTTTCAGAAGGGGTCTTTTAAAAGAGGGAGATGGTAGGAGATGTATTGGTTTCTAGTATAAACTTACTCATTTAAAAATATAGCAGTGTTATGCAAATGTAATTCATATACCATAAAGTACATTTATTTATTCATTTAATTTTTCAAGACAGGGTCTTGTTGTAGAGCTGAGGCTGGCCTGAAACTCACTATGTAACCCAGGCTGGTCTCCAATTTGTGATCTTCCTGCCTCAGTGTCTGTAGTGCTGAGATTACAGGCATACCCCATCAAAGCTACCAAACTTACCCTTTTAGAGAGTACAAGTCAGTGGTGTTCAGTCTAGTCACAAGTTGTGCAACAATTACTGTCTAATTTAGAACATGTTCTAAATAAGCCAGGCATGATGGCACACATCTGTAATTCCAGCACTCTGAAGGTGGAGGCAGGAGGATCACTTTGAGTTCAAGGCCAGTTTAGACTACTGTGAACTGTATAGCAAGACTTTGTCTCAAAAAAAAAAAAGAGTGATAGAGACACCTTTCTTTTTTGGGGGGCTAAGGATGGAATCCTGGATATCTTTCAGGGTAGGAAACACTGAGCTATAGACTTAGCCCTAGAATATTTTAATCATTCCAAGAAGAAACCCTTGAATCCATTAGCAGTCACTCTGTACTCCCAATGACCATTTTACCATGACTGATTAAATCTTATCTTATTTCACTATACAGGCTGGCTGGAATTCCTGGGCTCAAATTTTCCTCAAATCCTTCAGAGTAGCTGAGACTATAGTGTGCCACTGTGATTGGTTCTAATATTTTAAAATTCCTAATTACATTCTTGGGTGATAACCTTATCTTAAGTTTGGGGGAGGTAGTCTTACTGCTCTTTGTTTCATGTTTTGACTATGGTTTGTAGCTCCAGATCTCGTCTCCTGTGACAACTTCAACTGCTTCTCTTCTCCTTGTAAAGCTGGAGAATAAGGCCTCCTAAGTAGAGAATAAGAGGTGGGCAAAATTGGAAAAGCAAGGCAGGTTCTTCTCAGGGGCTGATGACTTAATGATCCTGCCTAAGTTGATCTTTAGTTGCTACACAAGTCCCAGAAAGACTTCAGACTATTTTTCTTCATATCTTTGAAACACAAGGTCCTTGGAGGCAATCTGCACTTTCAAGTTACATTTCTTTCTTTTTTTTTTTTTTTTTTTTTTTTTTTTTGGAGATGTGTTTTGTTATGTTGTCCAGTCTAGCCTCAAATTTGTGGATTCAAGTAGCCTCCTCTGGCCTCTGGAGTAGCTGAGACAACAGGTATGTGCCACCATACCCAGCTTTTTGAGGCAGGGTCTTGCTATGTAGTTAAGGCTGCCCTTGAGGTGATCCTCCTGCTTCAACCTCCTGCATGCTGGGATTACAGGTGTGCCAGCAATGTTTATTTATGTATGTATGTATGTATGTATGTATGTATGTATGTATGTATTTATTTATTTATTTATAGTGAAGTGGTTTGCAGGCTTGGCTGCCTGTGGTACCCCACCTTAATCTTAGCATTCTAGGAAGTTGAGACAGGAATGTAAGAAAAAGAAAAAGCAGCTCATTTTCAAGATGAAATAATTAACTCTGAAAAATTACTGGCAGTTGAAATTGCCTAATGGCCTGACAAAATTCATTCATCTGGAGAGTCTCTGGACAGTGGAGATCTTGAGGGAGAGATAAAAATAGTTGAGAAAGACAGCCTTTATAGAATGTAGATGTGAGGAGAAGGGAAAAGAAAAACATTTTTCTAGCTAAGACTAAGTAGAAACAGCAAATGCAAGGTCATATGAAATCTCTATGCAGGAACATCTGCTTCTTGAAAAGTCTCAAAATAAAGAATAGACAAGATTATAAAGAAACCCAAACTCAAATTGGGAGGGAGGCTGGGGAACTGCCTTACAAAAAAGTAATGAAACATAGGTGATGACTGGGGAAGTACCTCATTTTATCCTCACCTAGTAAGGAAATAGGGGAAGGGACTGTGTGCTAGGGGTTAAATTGCTCACTGTGACCACCCT